TTTGTGATGTTACGACAATTGAAAGGAAAAATGAAGTCAGTTTAGGATTAATTACTGAACAGCCGTTACGATAAAAGTAACAAATCTCTCAACGAGAAATTTCGTTGTAACTGATAATATATTAACCTGTTACAACGATAAAAAAAAAAAACGGATATCACTGATCATTTCAAAATCATTTTTTTACCGTCATTTTTCTTGGTATTTTAAATTGTTGAAAAAAAAATTTTTTTTTTCAACAATTTAAAATACTAATTAATATAATTAGCAAAAAAATTAAACATTTTTAAAAATGCAACTAATTTCGGACAAACAAAAAAGCTTTTATCAAAATGATCGAAATTTCATTACACAATTTTTATTTCCAATTCCGATATAGGAAAGGAAAAACCGTAAAGCAAATGCCAAGCAATATATGCATAATTTCATTCGAAATTAAACTTCTTTAATTTGGAATATTGAAATTCTTTGGAATTCATAATTTGAAATTTGAAATTTGAAACTCATTATAGATAATTTAAATTATCATAAAAAGTGAATGTTGAAAATGAATAAATGAATATTATGATAAAATTCGGTACACTAATTTATGAAACCCGTTGTAGACAGGTTTTTTTTTTTTTTTGCTTTTTAGTAGCAAATTTTATTAATGATAATTAAAACAATCTATTATCTTCTGTTATCATTAATACAATTTCTTCCTTTTTTTTTGTTTTTTAATTATATATTGTAATTTATTAACTGATATTGTCATATAATAATAAGAAATGAATCATTGATAATATTTTTAATTTTTGTTAAAAAAATTACCGTTTGATAATTTCAATATAATTTTGATAATTTTTTTCTGGTAATTTCATTTGATAATTTTATTATAATATATCAACGAGTATTTTCCTGATATCACATTTCCATGATAATTTGTGTTTCAGAACATTCCGAATTTCTCATATTTTCACTAAATTACAAAATTTCGATTCAAATTAAATTAAATTTTTTAGTATATTAAAATTAAATTAAATTTTTTAGTATATTTCAAATAGAAATACTTGAAATGATATAAATATATAATTATAAATTTGCGTTATTTATATCCTATTTTTTTGATCTTGTTTTATTCCTTTGCTTTTAGTATAGTTCAAATAGAAATACTTATGTATTTGAAAAACAAAAAAATGAATTATTTAAAGTAACTTGAAATTACAAAAAATATGTTTAAAGGAATCTAAAATTGCAAACTATGCTTAAAATAATCTGAAATTGAAAACAATACATTTAAAGGAATCTGAAATTGCAGGCAATATATTTAAAAAGTAATCTGAAATTGCAAGCAATATGTTTGAAGAGTAATCTGAAATTGCAAGCAGTGTTTAAAGTAATCTGAAATTGCAAACAATATATTTAAAGGAATCTGAAATTGCAAGCAGTATTTAAAGTAATCTGAAATTGCAAACAATATGTTTAAAGGAATCTGAAATTGCAAGCAGTGTTTAAAGTAATCTGAAATTGCAAACAACATGAAATAGAGAAGTGACATTTTAATTACAAAAAAAGTTTTTCAAATTTTAATTTTGAATTAACAATATCCTGTAGAGAAGAGCCATTTCAAAAAAAAAACTTTTTTTCTTAAATTTTAATTTTGAATTAACAATATGATAGTAGAGAAGAAGACATTTTAAACAATTTTTAAATTAACAATATCATATAGAGAAGAGCCATTCCAAAAAAAAAAAAATTTTTTTTTTTAGGATTAATAATTTTAGGTTAAATTGTTTTTCATTTTCAGATTAAAAAGATTTGAAAGCTTAGAAGCAAAAAAATAGAAAAAGAAAAAGAGAAAAATTGATACCCTAAAAAAAGCCAGCGGGCATTTTTGTAAACAAAAATCAAAAAAAAAGGAAATGTCGTATTTTTGTCATCAAAAATTCATCATTAATTCATCCATTTCATTCCTAAAATATTTCACAAAATACGAAATCGTTTTATTTTTGCATCAAAATTGAAAATCTCTCTCTCTCTCTCTCTCACTCTTTTTTTTATCAATCATTTCTTTAACAAATTTTTTTATTATTTATGATATCTGATAAGATGCCTTTTTTTTTCATGAGTTTTTCTGTTATCATTCTAAAAATTCCTTTTTTTTTTAAAAAAAAATTTCAAATCAAGTTTTATCATTTTTTTTTTTTGTTGTTATCTTATCATTCCTTATTATCTTTTTCTGATAATTATTTTAATAAAAAAGAAAAGGAAATTTAGGGAAAAAGAGAGAAAGAGAAAGAAAGGTAAAAATAGGAATGGATTGTTTGGCGGAAATCGGTATTAAATTCCTTCCTTTTTTTTTTCCCCCTTTTTTGCACATTAAAGGTAAAAATTAAGATCTACGATTTAAATTGACAATTAATTGTTTATAATTTAAAGGAAAAACAGGAATTCAATTATTACACTTTATAGTTGGTTGGGGGTATTTTTTGGGGTGCATAAAGATAAGATAAAAGTAATACAACGATGTCATTTTTACTGGATTGAAGAATAATTTTTTGGTAGAAATCATCCTAAAATCATCCTTCTACAACCTTTTTCTTTATTTATTTACCTCTCTTTTTTTGGTGTGTGTATGAAAATTTTTTAAATCTCATTTAAAATGATATGTTATTCTGAATTACTGATGATAAGTGATCTAGCAAAATGATGATGATACGTTGTATGTTTTTAGAAAGTTTTAGCTTTTAAAATTTTAATTGTTAGAATTTGTTGGAGAATGCTTAAATTAACAATAGGAATGTGTTAACAAGAAATGGTCATACAATTGTATTCATTCATTCATTTGTTTATCTCTTAATTAATTAAATTAAAAAATTTTCGTGAAATTTACAACGATTAATATTTAGTTTTTAAGTTGAAAAAAATTGTTGAAAAATTTTTAATTTTTAATTTTGTTTATTGCTCCCATACATTTTCTTTAGCTCTTCATGTAATTTTCGATCTTTTAAACTTAATTCGTATGAATGAAATGAATTCAAGTAGGCTTATTTGTTTTTATGTTTACGGTACGGAATAATTCAAGTAAGCTTATTTATTTTTATGTAAACTAATTTATATTACTCATTTATACTAAAATTTTATCAATTTTAATTTTGTTAATTAATTTTTCATTTTGTTAATAATATTAGGATAAATAAAAGTTTTAATTTCTATCAATTTTTTTAAAGAACAAAAGATTGCTATCACAAAAGGTAAGCAAATTTGCTTTTGCTGAAAGAAATGTGTTAATAATTTAAAATTTTAATTAATTTAACTTTTTTTCGAAATATTATAATGAATTTCTTTGTCACTGATTATATGATATTGTTGTATAATATTATAACTTTTACATCAATTTTTTTCTTAAATTTGTATTTAATTATTTATAAATTTTCTATTTGTTTCTTTTTTAGCTCTTTTGTTATAATTAATTATATAATTAATTATAGCTTTTTTTAGAGTTCATTTAATGAAATGAATTTAATGAAACGAATATCTTTATTCATTTAATGAAATGAAATTGATTGCTAAAAAGGAAAAGTATATTTAAGCTTAAGATTTTCAAAATAATGATATAGCATTAGTAAAAAGTAATAATGATAATAATAGTAAATAATAACGATATAGAATTAGTAATAAGTAACAATAATAATACACGATAAGTTATAATGATATTAGTAATAAGTAATAATACTAACACGTAAAAAGTAATAATGATATAGCATTAGTAATAAATAATAATAATACGTAAAAAGTATTAATGATATAACATCAGTATTCAATAATACATAATAGACAATACTGAAAGCGCGATATTACTATCAAATAATTTCTCAAAATCATTTTCATTAATTAAATTTAATTATATGTTACCTTTAATGATAATTATTTTCAGTTACATTCTCTTTGTCTCAAGCAATTTTGACAGCAACTTCAATTATATTTTAAACTAAATTTCAATCATGTCAATAAAAACGACAACAACAACAACAAATCATGGAAATTACAAAATTTTACTTGTTAGTTAATTAATAAATTCATTAATTAAAATGACTCATTTTTTAGGAATGAACAAACAAATTATTAATCTTTTTAAATATTCTTTTTTTTGATTTTAGAAATACACGAATGTTTTTTTGATATGATTATCTTAATGATTAATAATTATTTGAGAGTAATTTTATGAATGGTGGCAAGGAGCAAATTGTGAATTATTTATTATAAAATATAATTTGTAATAGTTATGATAGTTTTTTTGCTCTAATAATTAGTTAACAAATTATTTAAATATAAATTTATTAGGAGAAGATTTAAAAAAAAACGATGTTGAAAATATTGAAATATTTTATGATATCATCGATTTAGAATCAATTCTTCAATTATTCCCTTCTTTTATTTTTTATTTCCAATTTAAATTTCAGGTTTATTTATTATAATAATTCCTATACATATATATTCCAATATTCTATTTATCATTATGAAATGGCACTTAATTTATATTATAATATGCTGAAGTAAAATTTGATGTAAATTGAAAAAAAAAATTTCATATTTTGATAATTACTGATATTAATTTTCCTTTGCTTATATCCTTTTTTATAATCCCCTTTTTTTATACTTTAATTTCAGGTGTAATTATATGTAATAAAGGTAGTAAATATATTATATTCTCTTTATAATTCCTTTTTACATTTTAATTTCAGATGGCTATACCTTTATTCATTTATTATATTCTTCTTTATAGCTCATTTTTATCATGTTTTAATTTCAGATGATTATACCTTTATTAATTTCAGATGGTTATATCTTTATTTATTTTTTATATTCTTTTTTATAGCTCATTTTTATCATATTTTAATTTCAGGTGATTACATCTTTTTTAATTTCAGATTGTTATACCTTTATTTATTGTATTCTTTCCTTATAGCTCATTTTTGTTTATCATAATTTAATTTCAGGTGATTATACCTTTATTTATGATGTCAATTACACCAACGGATGCATGTATGGGTTGTTGTTGTGGTGTCTGCAAACCAAAAACCGAGTGAATTTTTAAAGAAACAAAAACATCTTTTTTAAATTCATTTAATTCTTTAATTTATTTATTGTTTTAGTTTTTACTTCAAAAAAAGTTTATTTTTGGTTAAAAGCTAAAAAAGCTAAAAAAAATAATAATTTTAGGCTAAAAAATGAAAAACAATTCAATTTATTATTAATTAAAAAGAACAATAAAATTATTTATTAAAAAAGGAAAAAAAAATTAAATTTTTTGTTTTAATAATTTTTATGAAAAAATTTTTTCATTACTAATTTCATTTTTAAAATAGCAATTAATTATTTATTTCAGTGCGGCACAACAACCTCCTCCTCCTATACCTTTTCCTCCGCCACCATTACCAGCACCAGCGCCACTCCCTTATCCTGTACCACCACCAGCATTACCAGCACCACCACCACCGGTATATGCACCTCCACCACTACCAGCACCACCACCACCAGCAGCACCAGTTTATCCAGTGCAACCACCTGTATACGCAAAACGACCAGTGTATGGACCGGTTTCCTACGGTGTACAACAATATGAAGTATCAGGATCTGCTAGTGGACAACAAAATAGAGCTGATCGTGTCCATTTTATCCGATAAAATTTTCAAAATGAAATATCAATTAGAAGATAGCAATCATAGATAATTTTTTAAGAAATATTTTTCTTTTGTTTTTTTAAAAATTATGGAAAAGGAAAATAACATACAATCATTCATTAATTTTATCATAATATTCTTTCATACTAATTAATTTGTTAATTATTCTTTATTTTAATTTAACCAATTAAAAATTTCTTCTCTTCTATTATATGCAAATTTTATTGTACAAAATGTTTTTCTGAAAAAAATGAAAACAGAAAAAAAACTTATTTTTTAAGTTTTAAAATTTTAATTAAAAAGTTTAATTATAAAATATAATTCAAAAGAATTAAATTTTATAATTAAAATTAAATTATTTCTATCAAATTATGATTTGTTAAATGGCAAATTATTTTAAATACAATAATTATATTTGCCAATATTTTCCTCCTTTTTTCTTAATTAGTAAAGGTGTATTTATTAATTAATGTGTAATTCATTTCGTTTCATTTTCTTTTGTCTTTTCTATCAATGATTTTTATTTATAAAACAAAAATTATTTTGTAAAAGGTTGAATAAAGAAGATATTATAAGAAAGGAAAATAATTTACATCAATGTTACATCAAAATAATCAAACAATACAGTAATGTTGCTATTACGATACATTTGAGTAAATTAATCACTATCAGTTATTATTATTAATAAATTTTTAGTACTAAGAAGATATTAAAAGAAAAGAGCAATGCAGTAGTGTTACTCTTACGGTATGTTACAGTATATGACAATAAAACATATCTTACGGTATATTTGAATAAATCAATTACTATTATTTATTTTTATTGATAAATTTTAAGTGCAAAGAAAATATTGCAAGAGCAATTCAGTAATGTTACTGCTACGGTATGTCTGAATAAATCATTTGCTATTAATTATTATTATTAGTAAATTTTAAGTACTAAAACATATTACAAGAAAAAAAACAATGTAGTAACTATTTAATTAACTAATGAAAACAATGTAGTAACTAACTACTACGATATATTTGAATGAATTAAATACTATAAATAAATTTTACAAGTACTGTAATAAAATGTATCTCATTCAATTTGCTTATCTATGAAATTTTGATAACTCTACATTTAAAACATGATTATATTATTACTATGACAAAGTATATGAATTTATTATTTATTTCAAAATAATAAAATATCATTTCTTTAACAAAAACAAAGAATGACCATATTTTTTAGGAATATTACTAAATATACAATTATTTGTAATTGATTGAAATATAAATGATGAGAATTTTACACCTCAATTAAAATATAAATGATTAAATTAATGATACTACAATTATTAATCAAGAATTTCCACATTTGATGAGCAATAATTTTCATTGCGTTTAAAGTATCAAATGATTAAATTAATGATATTATAATTGTCAATCAGAAGTTAACTGATAATTTTCACACTGATAAATAATAATATTCATTGCGGTATATTTTTTGTTTCTTATTTTTTGTTCAAAAATGATACGGCTAAATTACTTTCAATAAACAATAGAACTTAAACATTTTAAAGTAATATTTCTCCAATTTTTTTTGCAGCAAAATATTTTTAAGAAATAAATTTACGACAAACTTTTTATTTGAATTCAGTTTTGTTTTCTAGTGGATTCTGAATTCAGTTTTTTCTGATGGATTTTGAATTTAGTGTCTTTTTCTGGTGGATTTTAAAATCGGTTTTTTTTTTTTGGTGGATTCTGAATTCAGTTTCTTTATGGTGAATTTTCGAATTCAATTTTTAGTTGACGAATTCTGAATTCAGTTTTTTTCTGATGGATTCTGAATTTAGCCTTCTGTCATAAAATTAAAATAACTTTTTAAATGATAAACTTTTGAAAGTAAATGATAAGCTGATAAACTTAATATTTCTCACCGAAATTCCCAACGAAATATTTAGTCACCGGAATGTTTATAATTTGTTATAGCTGTCAAATTACTATGATATAATTTATTCTAACTAACAAAATCAATATGATATATTTCTCATCAAAATTTCAAACGAAACATTTAATCACCAGAATATTTATAATTTATTATAGCTAACAAATTATTATGATAATATTTCTCATCGGAATTTCACGAAATTTTTAGTCATTTGAATTATTATAATTAATAAATCAATATGATAACTAATTCTCATTCATTTGCTTTACATCATCCTTCATCCATAATAATAATAATAATAATAATAATAATAATTATATCAAATTAAACCAGTTTCATTTTTCCAAAATAATTGATCAATAAATAATTGATAATAAAAATTTTTGTAATTTGTCAATGTTGTATTAATGAACAAAAAAGAATAAATCCTACACATAATTTAACAATAATTTTCATAACGTTGAAATTTCTTCAAATCTTGTTTGAAGTGCTAAATTAAATTTGTTATTAATTGGATGAATTTTTTTTTTTTTTTGCCTAAAATTTTATAATTCTAAACATTGAATGATTTCTTCATCCCTTTTATTTAGCTTACGGCAATATTTGATCTTATGAAAATTTTTTTGATAGCAATAATAATAGTAATATTGCAACGAATAATTTAACAAATTATAATTGTTAAATTTTTGTGGCTGTAAATAATTCGCTTTTTTTTTTCTGTTCAAAAATCCGTTTGATTAGAAATTTTATTCGAAAATCAAATTATGAATAGTTAATTTCATGTAATCCTGTTTTTTTTTTTTTGGTTGAAATAATTATTAATGGTAAGATTGAATGGAATGTAAAAATTTGGAATCGAATAGTTAAATAAATAAACTTAATTAAAATATGAATAATGAATATGATAAATAATCATTAATGATAAAATTGAATTGAATGGGAAAATTTGGAATCGAATAGTTAAATAAATAAACTTAACTAAAATATGAATAATGAATAAAATGAGAAATAAAAAAACTTAACTAAAATATGAATAATGAATATGATAAATAATCATTAATGATAAAATTGAATTGAATGGGAAAATTTGGAATCGAATAGTTAAATAAATAAACTTAACTAAAATATGAATAATGAATAAATAATTATTAATGATAAAATTGAATTGAATGGGAAAATTTGAAATCGAATAGTTAAATAAATAAACTTAACTAAAAAACAATGAATAATTTCCTTCAAGAGATGAATAATAAATATGATTAATAATCATTGCTGATAAAATTGAATGGAATGCAAAAATTCGAAATCGAATAATTAAATAACAAACCTAACTAAAAGAACGATAATTATTTCCTTTTCAATTATGAATAATGTATATGATAATAGTTTTTTGTTTTTTGCAAAATTATTAGTAATTTCAAAAATTGAATATCTTATCCTAAAATTTGATAACATATTTGGAATTTAATTTTTCAACAATTCCTAAAATAGTAAAAATGTTGTAATTAACAATCATTCATATTTATCAGAAAAAGAAAAGGTGACAAATGTCAGAAATAGTTATTAATTTACATTTCATTGAAACAATTGTTATTCTAAAAAAAAGAAAAAGAAATTCGGTTGAAATTCAGTTTGTTACAATTCGTTGATAATTTTTCTCGACAGATGGAATCAAATGTTTTACCAGTTGAATATTCCTTAAATGGATTAAATAAATATTTCCAAATTAGGTCTTCGCTTTTCAGCTAATCCTGTTTAAATAAATGGAAGAAATAAATTTGTTAATTAAAATATTAATTTTGCAGAAGCCAGAAATATTATCAAGATTGATTGTGATATTGATCATATTTGATTTCTTTTGTTTTGCGGTTTCTATAAGCTGGCATCATACCTTATTCTGCCAGGCCTTTTTGGGCTTCTTTTATAGCCTAATCTAACTGAATAAAATTACATAATTAATCAATTATTAACTTCTTCCGCTTAAATTGATTAATTTGAAATAATCTTGATAAAATATTTATTTAATTTTGTCAAAATATTTTCGAGAAAGTTATTCCTTAAACTTTTCATCATTTTCTATCACAATTTGATATCATCATAAATAATATTTAGCTCTTTTTAATAGAATTTATTGTGCCATAAATACTATCATCATAAATATAATTATCACAGTATTGATACTGTATTCGTAATAAGCACCAATATCATATCACGCTTATTAAACGCTGCCAAAGTGCGTAGCTACTTTCTTATTGACCTTATCATATTAATAACAATAAATAATAATAAATAATAATAATGATAATAATAATATCAATAATAATAATATTAATAGAAATATTAATAATAATAAATAATAATGCTAGTAATAATAATAATATTATACATAAATTAAGAAAAAATGCTAATGATTGTATATAATTATTGATTATTTTAAAGTAATTAACTTCTTTTTCTTTTCTTTCAAAATTAAAAACAAAAGAATTGCGAAAAAAAAGAAAAGATAAAAGAAAATGTTTATCACATCCTTTTTATAAAGACAAAATAATTGATGAACGAAATAATTTTAATTTATAGTATATTCATTTCTTTCTCTTTCATTCTTATCAGTTAAATTAAAAAAAAAATGATAAAAATTTATTATCAAAGATAAAATATCATCCATTTTGAAAAGAAAGGGACAAAGAATTTCAAAAACAAGGAATAAATGAAATAAAAAAGGAAAAGGAAAAGGAAAAATTCCAATAAATGATAAAATGAAATTAAACGACAAGGAAAAAAAAGGGAAAGAGAAAATTCGATCCATTTCATGTATGCCAAATAATTTAGGCTAAATCAAACAAATTTTTATTATATTATAAAATGAACGATGTAAAATCGAACTTCTTCTCATCCTATCTCTTATTTACTCTTATATACTGTGTAATAAATTAAAAATCCTATCTCTTATATACTTTGTAATAAATTAATAATTATATATCAAAATTATTCAAAAATTTTTTTTGATTAATTTTAATCACAAAATTTTATTACAAAAAAAAAATATATATATATTGTTATTATAAATTTATATAGGTGTGTATAAGTCATATTATTTAAAAAAATATGCAGCAATTCAGCTTATTTCTTTGAAACCTTTTTACTTTCATTTTTATTTCCAAATAAAGTTTACTTTAAGCATTTAGGCTTTTATACCTTATACATTTTTATGATATTATAAAAATCAATATCATTGTTAAAGTCAGCATCATTGTAAAAGTTAGTATCATTATAAAAATCAGTATCATTGTCAGCAATATTGTAAAAATCATTATCATTGTTAAAGTTAGTATCATTGTTTTAAGGTCAATATCATACAAAAGTGAATACCATTTTGTTAAAGTCAGCATCACTGTAAAAGTGACTATCATTATTAAAGTGAGTACCATTGTCAAAGTTCGTATCATTATAAAAGTCAGTGTCATTCTATTTCCTTTCCCACAACAATCATTAAATTACCTTCCACTTAAAAGAGTTGTTCTTTTTTTTGCTTATTTTAAATTCTTTCAAGCAAAGTTATCACTTTCATATTCACACCTTAAATGATATAAATAATGAAAATATCATTCGTTTTCTTTTTCTTCCTACTTCTTTCTTTAAATCTCACCATATCTGTCACCAACCAAAATGGCAGAAAAGAAAAAAAGAAAGAGAAAGAGGTCAAAAAAAGGCCAAAAAAATGGAAAGTAAGTGAGAAAAAAAGAGAGAAATAATTAGGATAACATTTCTACGACAAAAATTTTCAACATTATTATAATTCCTTTTTTTTCATTTGGAAAAAAAAGTGTCAGGAGGTGGTGCTATCTGTAATTTTAGATCAAATCGGATATAAAAGCACTCTTCATCTAATCATTTTACAATTCATCAATTATAGCTTAACTATACATCTTTTATTATTCATACTTTTAATCATATTCGTTTAGTGGAATTTCAATTTGTTATTTACTCGAAATCGAACTAATATTTGAAAGCTACGAATTATTTATAGCGCAATAAACAATAATTAATTCGAATTGATCGAAATATTTCGAATATGGTAATTTCAATTTATTTTTTCGTTAAATTATCTATTATTTAGTGATTGTTGATAATTAATTAAAAAGTATTTATTATCATCTATGATATCATATCATGGATCATCTATGATAAATGATAATAATAATAATGAGTGCATACTATGATGATAATATTTTATACAACTTTGTATTATGCCATTGTTTAATGATTGAGTATATATAATGTAAAATAAAATAAGTCAATTAAAGTAGCAGTATGATATTTTACCAGTGATATATAATGTAAAATAAAACAGTTATAGTAGCAGTGTGATTTTTAAATCAGTGATAGAGCTATGAAAAAAAAATGGTATGAAAATCTAAAAATAAAAAATGCAATATTTAAATAGAAATTGATGACTTCTATTAATTAATTAATGATTCATTAATTAGTTTATAAGAAATTAATTTTTTCATCAAATTTTATCAGATTAGAAAATTTTTCAACCACTTAAATGTCGTATTTTTTTGGATACGTAAAAAATTTTCTACAAAAAAATTTTAAGATTTATTATTCATAAATTTAGAAGTAATTATCAAATTTTCGTTAATTTAAAACTCTATTATTGTAAAATACTCAAAAATCAAATTAAAAATTTATATTAAAAAATTAAATTAAAAAATTAAACTAATAATTTGTTATTTTAAAAAGCAAACAAATAAGAAAGGAAAATTTCTCAGAAATTTTTGATTAAATTCAATTATTAGATTTGTGCAAATATATGAATATTATATATTGAATTTGATGACAACCTCTCTAAACTATAATTTTTTAATGAATAATTCAAATTTATCAATAAGAATGTAAACTTGAATATTAGAATATAAACTTAATTATTAGAATAGAATATAAAATTTAAATATAGAATATAATTAAATATTGGAATATCAACTTAAATATTAGAATGTATATTAAAATGTTAGAATATAAATTTAAAGATAGGATATAATTATATATTAGAATACAAACTTAAACACTGGAATATGAATTTGAATATTGGAATACAGTCAAACATTGAAATATAAACTTAAATACTAGAATATAAATTTTAATATTAGAATATAAATTTCATGTTATAATTTGTTAATTTTCCTCTTTTTATCCAACTTCCTAAACTATAATTTTTAATGAATAATTCAAATTTATCAATAAAAAATGTTTGCTCAAATATTCGAATATAAACTTAAATACTGGAATATAAATTCAAATATTAGAATACAATTAAATATTGAAATATAAACTCAAATATTAGAATACTAACTTATATATTAGAATACAAATTTCATATTATGATCTGTTAATTCTTCTTTTTTTACCTAACTTCTCTTCATTTTTCAATTCATAACTGTCAATTTCTTTTGTTTATATAATTTATTTTGCATTTTAATTAAAATTGAAAAGGATGAGTTAATTGAAAATAAAAATCGTAAATTTTATTTTCCTATCCTTTTTTATGCAAAAAATGAAATTGTGGAAGAGAAGAAGGCAAAACTTGTTTTATACAATAATTCACAAGTTTAACGGATGACACAACGGGCATAATTATTATAATATAAAATAATTTAATTATGAATAGAAATGGTAAATTCCTATGTTCTTTTCAATATCCCTTTTAAATCATTATATCTATCATATTTATTCATTTAAATTATAGTGATCAAAATTTAAAAAAAACTTTCACTACAAGTGTATTATAATATAAAATAAAAAAATAGAAGGTCCTTATTCAAAACCCTTTTAAATCATTATATCTCTCATACTTATTCATTTAAAATTATAGTGATCAAAAATTTTAGAAAACTTTCAATACAAATGTATTATAATATAAAATAAAAAAATAGAAGGCAAAATTAAAAAGAACAAATTTTAAATCATAGATTAAAAATTTTTGAAAATTTTAGGAAAATTATAAGTTTGAAGAGAAATTTCTTTTTCTTTTTTTCTTTTTTGAATTATTTCATTTTTGTAAATTTAACTTTTCTAAATATTTGATATGAAAAATAATAATATGAAATAATAATGATTGTGAAAAATAATAATAAAAAGAAATATGCAAAATACTTAATTTTCCTTTTTTTCAATTTCTAATTTATTTCTTTGTTTTTAACTCATTAAATGAAATTCATTTAATTTTGATATAATTAAATTCCTATGAATTATTGCAATTTTACAAAATTACTTTCTAAAATATATTCAAATTTTTTCATTCCTTTTTTTATTAAAACTTGAAATTTTAATTTTCACAAATTTTCCATTTGCCTAAAATTTTTTGAAGATCGTTGAAAATGAATAATATTGAAATTTTACAGAAGCTTACTGTTCTTCTCATCTTCGCTTTAATAGAGCATGCAAGCGCTTGTTTTGGTGGAGGTGGATGTGGAGGTGGAGGTCAAGTAGAATGTTGTTGCTTAAAACTACCACCGATTTGTCTTCCAGTACTAAAGCTGGGCGGTTGTTGTGGTGAGTGCTGTTGTTCAGGTCAAGGAGGCGGCATAGGCGGTATAGGTGGCGGGTATGTTTTGCAATAATTTTATTTATAGTTATTTAAATTAAATGTTAACAAAATAAATACCTTAATTGCTTTTAATTATTTAATATAATAATTCTTAATATTATAACAATGCTTATAATGTGTAATTAAGTTTTAAATTTTCGGAATTAATGACTAAAAGAAAAGTTTATAACTTAATTAAGCTGTTTATATCAATCTATCATTCTAAATTAAACATTCGATAGATCAAAAGTATAACGCTTAAAAGTTTTGCTAAAGCTTTTCGTACCACACGTAAGTAAATTATTGTACTAATTAAATTCATATTTAATTAATATCATTTTTTCCATTAGAATTTTATTTCATTTCAAGTTTTTTTATTTCACTATGCTATATTTAATTTAATAAATGAATATATATTTGAAAATAATATTTTATCAATTAAATTAATTAATTGGAATTGAAATTCGAGTAAACAATTGTTGTTCTATTTAGAATATTTATCGCATAGTTAATTTTAAATAGTTAATTCATAAAATTATTTTCTCATATGTAAATAATTATGAGAAAATAATTCTGTGAAATTTATTTATTAATTTGAAATTTATTTGTTTCATGAATTTGCTTATTTGTTATTTATATTGTATGGTTTTATGTTCATTCCGAAAACAAACTTAAGAATTATTTACTTATTTATTAACTATTAATTAAATTAAAATAAAATCAACGATAGTTTCAGAATTATTAACTATTATTCATTTGCTTAAGAATTATTTACTATTTATTAACTATTAATCGAATTGAAATAAAATCAAAGATACTTACAGAATTATTAACTATTACTCATTTATTTACTTAAGAATTATTTACTATTTATTAACCATTAATTAAATTAAAATAAAACCAAAGATACTTTCAGAATATTTAACTATTATTCATTTATTTACTTAAGAATTATTTACCATTTATTAACTATTAATTAAATTAAAATAGAAGTCAAAGATATTTTCAAAATTTTAACTATTACTCATTCATTTACTTAAGAATTATTTACTATTTATTAACTATTAATTAAATTAAAGTAAAATCAAAGATACTTTCAGAATTATTAACTATTATTTATTTATATCCATTTTTTTATATATCAAAATTAAATAAAAGTTGAAAAGATACTTTCATCAATTTTTTTTTCCTTCATTTTATCAATTATCATTTTCAACACACTTCCTATTTTAGATATCCTTTACCACCCAGTAATCCAATTGGAGCAGGGTAAGTTATTTCTTTTTTTCATTTATTTAATTTGAATTTAATTAATTTCTACAATTGTTGAAAAGAGAAAATTTTTTATTAATTTACATATTTGATTTGAATTTAAATGATTTCTACAATTGTTGAAAATCGATGAATTATTATCGGCGCATTAAAATTATTTGTCAAATAATGCAATTTACATTCTGTCATTTGAAAAATAGTATTTATTTTATATTATACTGGAAAGAAAATTTTGTTTAAACTAATTTCCTTCCAAAATTTCAGATATGGTGTACCAAGAGCTGGCTATCCAGTTGGATAAAAATTATCTTACTTCATTAGCTAATCAATAATGTTATTTATCATTTGCTCTATGTTATTTGTAAATAAAGTTCATATTCATTTATTGTGAATTCCTTCAAAATTTTTCATCAAAAAATATTCGATCATCAATCGATGTTAACAACAAATTAACTTCTATTTGTGATATATAGAAGTTTAAACTTTTCTAAATTATTTTATTGAAATTTTAAAAGAAAGAATTTTTGAGAAATATAAACAAAGCATAAAAAGAAGCGTAAAAAGAACTCTGAACAAATTAAAATACTAAAAACACCCCGAATCCTTTCAGTGTTATTAATGATAATTGTATTATTATTACTATACAATTCTTCATTTATGTAATACAGCTGTACAATCTTTTATTATCAATCATTTCTGATTTATATTTTATCCATCTCTAAATGTTAATTTTGCAATAAAAAAGGCTAAATTATTTGTTGTTTGACCCCAACGCTAACATAACTATTACTATTGTGACCTTTTTTATGGTATTCTTTTTAAAAGAGCGAGTTTGGCACAAATTAATTGCAGTAAAGTTGCAGTTAATATTCGCTGGAAAGTTTTATTCCTTCCTAATATTATAATACAATTATCAGGAATTACAAGCGTAGAATTGACCACTTTGTCATTGATCTGAGAGATCAACTCGGAACTATTCGTTAACATAGTGTGCTACTTCAGTTCAGAGGAGTATAGATGGTAAGATCGTTTTATTGTATAGCAGTAAGTTACTTCGAATACAATTATTAGGAATTATCAAGGGTAGGATTGACCACTTTATCATTCTTCTTTATCACTGATCTGAGAGATCAATTCGGAGCTATTCGTTAAGATAGTGTGGTAGCTCAGTTCAGAGGAGTATAGATGGTAAGACTGCTTTATTGCAGAGCAGTAAGTTACTTCGAGTTGAGCGATACTCGATGAGCATTGTTTATAGTATATAGATAATTGATCATTTTGTAGACGAAACTAACGGTACAAGAAAAGGTCATAAAGTCATTTGATACATAAAACTAATTGGTAAACAAAAAATTGCCTGGTCATTTGAAAGGTAAAACTAATAGTAAACACGGGTCATTGAATATAAATCATTAACGATATTCTTTAGAATCGTAAATTAAGTGAATGTACAATACATATTCTATCACTTAAGAGATCACATTCTCAAAATAGGATATGCATCATAGTTAAATTTTTTATAATATGATGTTTAGATAATCATCAATATATCTTTATATTCTTATTGTCTATGTTATAGAAATTCGTAATTTAAGTGAATAACGTTATTTCAGGTTTCTGATAATCATAACATCACTTCAGGTTTCTGACAATCATAACATTATTTCAGGTTTCTAACAATCATAACGTTATTTCAGGTTTCTGACAACTATCACAACATATAATTGCATTTAATATTAATTTAAAAAAAATAAAAGTTTTCAATTTTATGAATACAACAATATTATTATAAACTAATTGAATAAGCTCTAAATTGATATATTGTCATATTAAATTTTAAAATTTTAAAAAATAAAAATAAAATCTTTACAAAAATCAAAGAAAAAGAAAATAGAAGATAATTGTGATCGCTTTTAAGAAGCATTTCAAACATTTCAACAAATTAGCATAATTAATAAACGTAATTAATTAGATTTTAAAAATTTTAATATTATTCAAAATTTGTTATTTTTGAGTTTCAATTATTTCTTAAAGAAAAAGAAAGCAATTTTGGGAAAACTATTTTCATTGATTTAAAGATATTGTAGCTATAATTTATAATTTTGGTGTAGTAGTTGTTGAAATTATAAAAATTGATGGTTACAAAAAGTTTCGTAGAACAATTTACCTTAAATTGTAAAGATTTATATTTAATTATAAAACATATTGATTGTTATTGATATCAGGGATAATTTACATATTAGACTTGTCGAATGATTGAATGGAAAATTGCAACAATTAATTAAGCCAATAACAATGAACCGTAGAGATGGAATGCATAAGACGTTTAATATATTAAAATATTTTACACGTTAAATGGCGTAGTAAAGCAAGTAAGTCATATAATGACAGGCAAATAAGCATCCGAAGTGATAAGTACGAATATAATAGAATAATAACGCAATTGAACATTCCGGCAATCTTCAATTTATCTTGATTGAAAGTTTGTCGGATGAGTTTGAAGAGCGATCAGGAATTCAATTGACGGGCTTTTACAGTTATAGTTATTAGGAACGAGTCAGTATGCATTTCTTCTATTATGAAATCGTATTTTGAACTTTTTTAATTTTGTTTTATTTTGGGAGAGCTTTCTGTGATACAGTCGAATAGCAATGAAAGGAGAAATTTATTCTTCTTCACGTTACAATACAATTAACAGAAAATATCGTCAATTGATTTGATTACTTTGATAACTCGGGAGTGTCCGTTGGCATCGTAATGGCTCAGAAAAGTGTAGATGATAAGACCGCTTTGCTTCAGACAGTAAGTCACACTAGAATGTGCTTCTTTCCAGTTGGGCAAAGCTCGAAGAGGAAATAGACAAATGAACGGTTTACAACGGATTGCTTGAACATAAAACCGACGGTAAAAGAGAATTATTTGAGGGTAATCATTTACAGTATTCTTTAGAAGAATAAATTGAGATATTAAACAAAGCATATCAAATTAAATGACAAAGAAATTGTGCAAACGTTTGACTAATAATTTGTGATAAACAATTTTTTTCAATATTAATAGGACGATATTTTAACTATGCGAATAATTTGATTTTATAAGATTATTTCAGATTGCCGACCAGTCCAAGTTTTATTTTGAACTGAAACAGCGGACAATCATAGGAAAGATATGTAATTTTATCATTTTGACATTTTTAATTTGGATTTTTTTGAATTGAGGAATATCATAAAAATAGTATTATCTTCTTTGCATATTTCAGGCAATAATATGTTTAGTTGAGGCCGCAACTACAACTCAGTGAAAGTTGTACGTGCATACCGTATGTTTGGTTAAGGCCGCAACTTCAACTCAGTGAATGTTGTACGTGCATGCCGCATGTTTAGTTGAGGCCGCAACTTTAACTCACTGAAAGTTGTACGTGCATGCTGCATGAATGATTCGCAAGAATGATATGTTTTGGTATTGAGTGCGTTTATAAATTGAAAACGGTCATTTTTATTCATCACATTGTTTATCATTTCTTGCAGATTTTCATCAAGTTTTTTTCTAGCTTTTTTGCCAATAGTGCTGCTGCTAAATGGGTGATGCCGAAGGACCATTGCATCTATGCTAGAAGAATGCCTTCTGAAACAGTGATGTTCGTCCAGGTTGCTGCGAAACTTTTCAATTTTGCACGAAGACATAATATAGCTAGAATGTAGGAATTCAGAAAACGCTATGTGATTGTTGAGCTAAGCTAATTTTTTTTTTTTGTATTGTTTCTTTAACGTTCGATTACTGCTTCACAAGCCAGTCACTCCTACAAAATGATGACTGCTCAAGTTCCCTTGAACGAAGTTCATCGGTTGGTACATCAAGTTCATCGGCTGGTACATCAATTCATCGGTTCATCGGTTGGTACATCAATTGAAAACAAAACTACCATGCTGAGATGAAGCTTACTTCAATGCCAGCCTATAAATGCAATTTTTGAGCTATGAAAGTTTGAATATGAGGACGAGAATTCTTCCGGGAAAAATGATTGATATGATTATTGATTGATAGTTTCATTGAGTGATTGAAACTGATAACACTCTTCGTTATTCTCCGTTCATATGATATGTATATATTATGAGCGGTTCTATCTTTTATGTCAGCAAATAATATCATCAAAAGTTTGCCGCACATGATGTGTGATAAAAATATGGTGAGATATTACAAAAATATTTGATTAAAATAAAAATTATCAAATTGTTTGAAATGTCGGATATAATGGAAGATGAATGTATAAATTGAAAATATATAAATTAAAGATGTATAAACTATTCTTAGTTTTAAAATTGTTGAAAAAATTACAATCAATAAAAATTTATTTTTCATTCATTTTCGTAAATGATAACTGATAGCGATAAAAAATTTAGTGATATAAATCGTAGGCGAAAATAAAAGCTTTCTTCTAACAATTTGCTTGTAAAAGTTTTGCTGCATTAAAAGATCTTTCATTTGAATCAATTAAAAAAGGAAAATGTGAAGATATAATTTTTAGTAGGCGAATGTGTTCGACGATTTATCATGTTTTGCAGTTCTCATTCGTTAAATCATATTTATCTAATTTCAATGTTTGAAACTTTACAACGAATGAATGTGTTGCAAGCAGTTATATCATAATTATTCATCGAATACTGATATTATGCTTCATTGCTGCAAATAAACCTTATACTATAAACTAAGCGGAAATGTGAAAATCGGTCGTGAAATTAAACCTGTAAATTTAATAAATTTAAACTCGTGAATTTAAACGTGAAATTAAATTAGAGCCAAATTAAGCTGTAAAATGAATTATGCTGCAAATAAATATTTACTATAATATTTTCATATCATTTTTATAGCGTTTCATAAATAAACTTATCAATTAATTTTTTTAATTGAGCTTAAAATTTTTGCATGATTAATAGAATATTAATAATATGATGATATGCTTACAAATAATTTGTAATAGTTAATAATATACTATAACATTATCAAACATTATTTAAAATGTTATTGATTTAAATTACAACTTAATAACTAACACATGACATATGCAACTTTTAGTTAATATATTATCTTCTACTAATGCTATAATTTTATTTTGCTTTCAATTTTGCAAATACAATGAATATTTCAATTTCATATTAATCATACAAATTATTATAATTGATAATTAATAATCAATCAATTATCTATTAATTATCATTTTCATTTGCTATTTGTAAATTATTTGTTTCTTTTCCTCTTTGGTTAATATAAATTGATAATATACGCTTAACATTCTAACTAACTATGAATTGATAATAGAAATGATTGTAGAAGAGAGGAAATGATTAGTTTGAAAGAATGATAGAGAGAGAATGATAGAAAGGAAGCTGGTTGTTGTCATTTGCTGTAAACTCTTATAGACAAGCAAAATTGTGAAGAAGTTTGGTTGTAAAGTTAAAAGAGAAAAAAGAGTGGGCGAAGAAGATTGGAAAGAATAAAATAGATGTAGAAGAGTAGATGAATGAGAAGCTGGAATGAGTTGTGTTGAAGAAATAAGCTGAAACTTTGTAAAATGCATTGTGTATATTTAGAATCATCCAACCGATACTTTTAGTATTTATGTTGAAAATAATTTATTATTAAATATTTATGCGAAAATTTTAATTTCTTCTTTTCTTTGTTTTAATTAATAATATTAATAAATGTTTTGTAATTAAATTTTTTCTTTTTAAATTTTAACAAAATACTAATTAAGATTTATTCAAATTGTTTTATTATGTATCTGTATAATTCTTATCATTAATTTTGATTATATTTATTTTTAGTTTTGTATTATTGCAACTCTTAAACTTACATCTTTTCTTTCTCTTCTCCCCTCTCTCTCTCTCTCTCTCTCTTCCTATCTCTTTCTTTTCGTTTATTAAGATTAAACTAGCTTCAAGAAAAGTTTAATACTTCCCTAAAATCCTTAATATTAGCAATGATATCTAAATAGTTTAATCCTTAGTTTCTTTTATTTATTCTGACCAGCTTAGCTTATATCATCTCCATTGCCTCTTCACTTATTAAATATTTTGATTATTATATTTTTGGATTTTTAAAATTAATTTATTTAATATGTATTGTTTAACATAATTAATTAGCAAATTAACATTGCATTGTCTTTGTTTTTTTTAAACTTTCTTACCGATATTTGTTTTAAAAATCTTTTTCACTTTATTATTGTTAATGTGAATGAAATTTCAAAATTGATAAATCAATACTTTTTGTTTTTTAGGTTTTTGATTATTAGATTTTTAGGCTTATGATTATTGGAATTTTAGACTTTTGATTATCGGATTTTTGGACTTTCGATTATTGAACTTTTAGGTTTTTGATTATTGGAATTTTAGACTTTTGATTATTGGATTTTTGGACTTTCGATTATTGAACTTTTAGGTTTTTGATTATTGGAATTTTAGGTTTTTATTATTAGAGTTTTTGATTATCGAATTTTCTTCCAAGATAATGATTTTTAAAATTATGCCTATCAATTGAATAAATTACAATTATTTTAATACACACATTTTGAATTATGAGTATTTTAATATGTAATTAATAGTATATACAAAATTTGAGGAATAAATTTCTGAGCAATCGTTATAGTTCGTTCATTGTAAAAGCTTTAAATTGATTAATTATTAAATTACACGTGCAAAATGAAAAATAAACTTTTTTATGTTCTAGAAAGAAATTGATTTTTTTTTTTTGCAAAAATTAATTAATATATCATTTTAGTATCAATGATATCATACATATATAATGAACTTAGTATCACTGATAACACATGTTATCAGTGATATCACACAGATATAATTTTTTTTTTGTACGAATTTTAAAAAATTTAATTTTTCAATTCAAATTTTTTTCACTGTAAATCATTTAAAAAAAAAAGAGAGATCGATCTAAATGAAAGAAATAAAGTTAAAAAATTCTTAAAAACGAAATTCTCTCATTTTGCAACATTTTTCATCATCGATTTTCATTTGTTATTAGATGGTAAGCATTCGATGATATCGAATATGTCAAAGTTCAAATTTACTAAGAATGATAACAAAAAAATAAAATTGTACTTTCATTGCTTCTTTACTTCTTACTTTTTTTGTTCAGAGATTAACAGAGAATGACAAACTTTGAAATTTTTCTAACTTAAATGACAAATTGTTTAGAACGAAGTTCTCGTTCGTTTGTCACCAACAATATCATCTCATCCATACTTTAAGCAAATGAAAATCAATCAATAAGCTATTTTTTTTCATATATTCTTGTAAAGTTTGATCTTAGCGATATCAAAAATAATACTGGCGTGTAATATTTGAATAGTGATGTAAAGATGTATAATAGGTTTGATGAGATATGTGAAATGTAAATATAAATTGTTGGCAGGTTAAAACCGGATAGTTCATAATTTAAATGAAAGGTGTAAATAAGATAAAATTAAATTGAAAAATAAGCTAATTATTAGTAATCAATTAGTTATTAGTTAATTAGTATTCTGATTAAGTATGAGTAAACGATTCAAATTATAATTAATTTTTATAATATTAACATACTTCACGTTCATATTATTTATATAAGCTATAATTTTTATTTCATATTATAAACAATAAATATTTTTTAACATTTGTACTTTCTTAATTTAATACTTTGATAATTGTTCTTTTCTTAAGTTTGCTATAAAATGATAATATCAGTTTGATAATTATTAGGAAGGATGAATTTGGAAGGAATATATTAGGAATATCAGTTTGATAATTATTAGAAAGGATGAATTTGTCCCAAAGTAGCTTAATTAGTTTAATAATTACTATTAATCAAAAGTGAAACAAAAATAATTATTTGATAATTATCAAAAGTAACACAATTATCAGTTTGATAATTATTAATTATCAAAAATAAAATAAAAAGAAATTTAATTCGAAGTGAAATAAGGAAAGATGAGAATAAGTTTCAAAAAAGGTATTTCAATATGTTATACAAAACAAATATTCGATTTGATATTCATTTTTTTTTACTTCTGATAGTTAATTCATTAACAATATATTCCTTTTTAATTAATAATAGATTTTTCATTTCCATTGTTTCAATTCATTTTATAATTATTCCTTTAATTTATATTGCAAAAAAGGAATAAGAGAAATTTATATATCTCAAAAAATTGATTTGCATTAATTAATAAAATAATTGAAATAGCCTAAAATCCAAAAACCATTCCTTTATTCGGATCATTTATTCATTTCTAATAGTTAATTCATTAACAATATATTCTTCTAATTAAATAATAGATTTTTCATTTCTGTTATTTCATTTCATTTTATGATTCCTTTAAGATATGATACTCTCTAACTTTGCATATAAGCTTTTTAATATTATATAATTAAGCATAGCGTAAACTAAAAATATTCCATTAAAGAGTACCTATCTAATTTCGTTTTATAAAACAATACATTTTATTCTATGTTTCATTTATTTAAACATATTTCAAAAGTGTCAAAAAATTATCGGACGAAAATTTGGAAGAAATATGAAAAATGATTGTTTACGAGAAAATTGATATGATAATGATATATGTTATCAGTGCTATAAATAAATCAATAAATGAATAAGTAAATAAATTAATGAATAAATGATTAGAAATAATAAACATTATTAGACATATGCATATTTATATATACTTTGCATATAAAGCACATTCCTTTAATTAAATAATAGATTAATTTTCATTATTTCAATTCATTTTATAAGATTGAAATTAATTCTAAGATAGGAATAGTTTAGTTGAAGAGAGAAAAGAAATAGTTAATAATAAGTAAAAAAGTTGAAGAGAGAAAAGAAAAAATTAATAATTAGTAAAATTAAAATTTATTTTCAACATATTAAATAAAATAAAAATTACGATGATACTATTTAAGATTTAAGGTAAAGGACTATTTGAATATGATTATAAATCATCACTTTTATAGTGATGATCGAAATTTTCATCGCAATCAATTAGTAATTGATTAATGTCTTCAAGTAGATATTTTTTTTCTTACCACACCAAATTGGGCAAATTAATTGATCGATTGATTGATTGATTTCAATAAAATTTAAAATTCTTGCTTTTCTCATTTGTGAAGAATAAAATTAGTGCATCTTCGCTTTTTGCCGATCTTTTTAGCCTTTATCCATTCTTTATGTACAAATGTTGAAAAATGCAAGAAAAATTTTTAGAAGCATTTGACGAATACAACTGCTAAAACATTTTGTGTGTTCTTATTTTTTTCTTATATATATCAATTTTCGCAATTTATTATTACATTAACGTCGTAAATTCGTCATTATATTTTCACGTATGATTATCGCAAACATTAATTGATCGCAAATGTTTAGGATTGCAAATATATTTATAGCACTTCTACATACTTTTTTTCATGTGTGTTCTTATTTTTTTCTTATATATATATCAATTTTCGCAATTTATTGCTTCATACAACGTCGTAAATCCGCCATTATATTTTCACGTATGATTGTCGCAAACCATTAGTTGATCGTAAAAGTTTGAGATTGCGAATAGCATTTTCACACCTTTTTCATTTTAATCAAAAAATTTTTTTCTACTTATTATCTTTTCAGTATTTTATTCAAAGTGTATATCCTTGTCTGTTTCTTCGAAATTAAAATGATTGTTATATTTAAATTGCTTTCATTTTAAGCTATATGACATCCGTTTCACCCTTTCAATTACCACATGATTCGCAATGGCGATCGGACAGATCAGAGAGATCCGAATCACGAGCATCCAGTCGATATGTGCCACTTGATCGTTTGTTTTTTAGTTTTACACAAATAAGGCCTATATTCAATGAAAAGAAATTTTGAATTTAATATTACAAGTTTTGAAAGAAAATGAACAGATCTAATTATTTTAATGATCTTCAGAAAGAACAATATCCTAATGACCTAAAAATTAATTTTCAATCATTCAGAGTTAATTCTCTCAATATATTTCTTGAAGAAGGATGTTCGTTCTACTAATTATTTTAAACTTTATAAAATGTTAATTTTCAACTAAACTTTTTCTCCGCAAAAAATATTCCGTAAATTTATAAAAGAGATTTAAAAATGACAAGTAAAATTTGAAATAAATTTAATACTTTTTTTTTTGGTAACCTTTTTTGTGAATTTCATAAATATTTAATTCTTTTTTTATTTAGATGCTGGTACCATACGTAATATTTTTAATTAAACGAAAATTAATTCATATTTGGATGCTGGTACCATACGTACTATTTTAATTAAAATTAATACAAATTTAAATTCTGGTACTATAAATGCTTTTTAATTAAACAAAAATTAATTCATATTTTGATGCTGGTACCATACGTACTATTTTTAATCAAACAAAAATTAATTCATATTTAGATGCTGGTACCATACGTACTATTTTTAATCAAACAAAAATTAATTCATATTTAGATGCTGGTACCATACGTACTATTTTTAATCAAACAAAAATTAATTCATATTTAGATGCTGGTACCATACGTACTATTTTTAATCAAACAAAAATTAATTCATATTTAGATGCTGGTACCATACGTACTATTTTTAATCAAACAAAAATTAATTCATATTTAGATGCTGGTACCATACGTACTATTTTTAATCAAACAAAAATTAATTCATATTTAGATGCTGGTACCATACGTACTATTTTTAATTAAACAATTCATATTTAGATGCTGGTACCATACGTACTATTTTTAATTAAGCGAAAGTTAATTCATATTTAGATGCTGGTACCATACGTACTATTTTTAATTAAACAATTCATATTTAGATGCTGGTACCATACGTACTATTTTTAATTAAGCGAAAGTTAATTCATATTTAGATGCTGGTACCATACGTAATACATTGAATACAATGGTGGATAGTGTGAATGCAACAACAGAATTAATCCAACGAAAGCAAAATGAATATGTGAGATTTGTTTTTCACATTCTGTCATTTATTGAAACTTTTTTCTATCATCTAATTAAAAAGAAATTTGTTTACCTTTTCAAATGTATTCATATTCTATATTATTAATTCAATTACTTTTTTGTTTCAATTCTTTTTAGGTTTTCATATTTCTCTTCTCATTTTTTAATTAACAAATATTTTAAATCGAATTTTAAAACACAAATACTAAATGTATCGTAAAGATTTGCAATATTTTGTTCGTGCAAAGTTAATTAAAAGTTTTTGCAAATTTGTAAATTAAAAATGGCAAATGTCAAATTGTTGTGATTTTTGATTTTTCTAATCTATTCAAATTATAGCTTTAGCAAATATAAAAATTTAATTTATCGGAAAAAATGAAAAACAAAAACGAATAACTAATTTTAGACTATGGGAAGAAAGGCATTTCAAACGGAAATGGAAGTAACTGGAAGAATGTCAGTTGAACCAACTGATGATACTTTACGACTTAAATCTGTTAGCACTGAAAATATGCAGAAAGAACTTTCGAAGCTTAAAGATGATCAAAGTAAATATTTTCGTTCTCTTATTTCTTTACGTAAAAAATATTACTTAGAAAAACATCAACTATGTGTATAATAAAAAATGACGCAACAATGTCGTAAATTTCTAAAGCATTAATTTATTATTCAAAATTTCCTCATACGGCTTGTATCCGTCGTTCAATCATCCTCTCTATTTGAATGTCGCAATTAATTTAATTCAATCTTAACACAAATTACATATTTCATCTGATCTTATCATATATTGAATTGTTAATGATTTAATTGTTATTTGTCAAACAAATTATTTAATAATTAATTTAATAGTATTATATTTGATGTAAAGCAATTTTTTATCAAATATGCATATGAAATAATTTTTGCAGAGCAACATGCTGTAACTGATACTTTGGCTGCATTGGTTTACGATATTGATGCCACCGCGGAAGTATTACGACGTGGTTCAATGAAAAAGAAGCGAACCACTGATGGAGTACAAATTCGCAATAGAAAAATTTTGGAAAAAGAAGAAATTACAAAAATTTGAAATGACAGATTTAAATTTTGACCAAAATCAAAATCGTCTTTTTTATCATTGAATTTGAAAAGTTCACTTAAAATTTGATTAATTAAATACTTAATTTAAAGTAAGAAGAGATGCTTAAGTTAAATGATTACAATTTAAATGAAAATTAATGACCTAAGTGACGAATATTTTTTTTCGTAATTAAATGAAATCATTAATTTACTAATTTACAGGAAGTAGTCACCGGTTACAATTTACGTATTACACCTGGACCAGAAGAACAAATACCTATTCCATCACCAAAACAACATCGTGGTTCATTTAATAATTTTTATCAATTAGTTTAATTAATCAAAATTTGTGATGATAATTAAAATTTTATTAAATATAATCTATTCATTCATTTAACATATTTGCTTTGCATACTTTTTGATAAAATTTATTTCTTCAATTTCTATCATTTCATTATTTTCAAATTTAATTTCTTTATTTTCAATCATTCCATTATTTTGTCAATTTAGGCTATTTGTTTAATTTTATATCATTTTGTTTTAAATGGTAATATTAATTAGTTTTGTATATTTCAGCAGCGGAGAATGGTTTTACGTTGGAACGAGTTTCGCAAGATTATGGTGTTGATGTTTCCGAATCACAAATGTAAGCTTTTTTTTAATTTTACCTTTTCGAAAATATTTTCGAAAATTTTAGGAATACCTTAGCTAAATTTAGCGCTTATACCTTGAGTTTTGATAAGTTTAAAGAAGTTGATCGCTAAAATTTTTAGACGAGAGCAATATTTAAGTAGTAAATACCTGACAAAATTCAATTCTAATTCTAATTACAGGAATACCTAACAAAATTCAATTCTCGTTCTAATTACAGGAATAGTATCAAAAAGCGTGCTCGATCTGAAACTCCACGACGAATGATTAATATTGAGGTGAAAATAAAATTAAATGAATTAAAACAAATTAGACAAAGAAAGAAAACAATTAACAATTTCAATTTTATTTTTTGATGTAAAAAGAAAATTCTTCTTTCAATTGTAATTTTTCCTGAAAATGAAAATGAATGATAGAATAATTTTCAGAGTTCTCCAACCAGTTCACCATCAATTTGTGCATTTTGTTCCGAAGAAATAGACGGACCAATGATAACAGCATTAGCACCAAATTCATATTATGCCCAAAAATTCCATCCGTATCATTTCATGTGTACTTATTGCCAAAAGGTTGGTTCATTTACAAATTTCCTACAATTTCTTTTTGACCAATGATAACAGCATTAGTACCAAATTCATATTATGCCCAAAAATTCCATTCGTATCATTTCACATGTAATTATTGCCGAAAGGTTCATTCAGAATTTTCTACAATTTCTTTTTGAACAATGATAACAGCATTAGGTCCAAAAATTCCGTCCGTATCATGTGTACTTATTGCCAAAAGGTTCATTTACAAATTTGATACAATTTTCTTGTTGAAAATTTGTTAAGTAAGTTGTAATTACTTTTTTTTTGCAAAAATACGAACACAAATGAAAGATCAGAAAAAGTGCTGAAAATTCCTTCAATATTCAAGCCCTCTTATCGTTTTAATTTTCTTATACCTCTTATCCCACCGTTTTAATTTTCCGAAATACTGCTAAACTTCAATTCAATATATTTCATAATATCAATCAGTTGAATTATTGTTCTTGCTCAGTATTTAGTAAGTTGAATTACTGAATACTGAATAAATAAATAAATGAGATTAAATTAACGAATAAATAAATAAATACTCAATAATGAACTGAATAAGATTCTTATTCAGTAAGTTGAATTATAGTTAAATTTGAATTATTCTATGTATTCAATAAGTCTGTAAAATTTAAATTACAATTAATTTTAATTAAAAAATTTTTTAAACATCTTATTTATTTGTTTTACAAATTTTTCTTAAAACCATTTCTTCCAAATGTAAAAGCATTAAATACTACTAAACTCGACGATCGATGATATAATATGCTAAATTCGACGATCGATGATAAAATCGATGATCGATGAAAAAATCGACGATCGATGATTTAATAGCAATTAAAATGATAAATATGAGTAAATAATTCTTTGAAGAAAAGAAATAATTGATTAATTTCAGGCACTAAATCTACGTGGCACTTATCGTGAACATCAGCGAAAGCCATACTGTCACGAATGTTTCTACCGGTTATATAATGGCCTCATCTATTCACCGGATGAAAAACAAGCCCGAATTGAAAAATTAATTTAATCAATAATTAATTTTAATATTTTATAAATTTATGCAAATCTTTGAAAATTTCAAATTGTACTTTTAAATTTTCTTTTTCATAATGTTTTCAAAAAAGAATAATTACTTCAAAAAGTTCAAAAAGAATTTAAAAATAATTGTTTTATTTTAATTATAAATTTTTGAGCAATTAACTAATTATTTCAATTACATTTTCATTTTTATATACTTTTCAAATTTTTTGCACTTATGTAATTTATGAAATTTGAAAAGACAAAAGAAAAAAAGGCAAAAGTGATTATAGAAATTTTACCTGAGATGATTTGTGAAATAGTTGTAAAAATATGCAAAAAATTTGATCCAAAAGTTTTATTAAGCCTGCCATCATATTTCTATTTCTCATATACCGTTATCTTAGATCAAACTTATTAAAAGTTTATTGTGATTAAATTCACCTAAGTTTTATTAAGGTTATCATTATAGTTTTATTTCTCATATACTGCTATCTTAGATCAAATTTATTAAAAGTTTATTTTCATCTTATTCATCTATGTTTATTAAGGCTGTCATCATACTTCTGCTTCCCATATGCCGTTCTCTTTGATCAAACTTATTAAAAGTTTATCAGATTAAATTCACCTAAGTTTTATTAAAGCTATCATCATACTTCTACTTCTCATATATTGTTATCTTAGATCAAACTTATTAAAAGTTTATTGTGATTAAATTCACCTAAGTTTTATTAAGATTATCATTATAGTTCTATTGCTCATATATTGTTATCTTAGATCAAACTTATTAAAAGTTTATTTTCACCTTATCCACCTAAGTTTTATTAAGGCTATCATCATAGTTCTACTTCTCATGATTGTTATCTTAGATCAAACTTATTAAAAGTTTATTGTGATTAAATTCACCTAAGCTTTATTAAGGCTATCATCATAGTTCTACTTCTCATGATTGTTATCTTAGATCAAACTTATTAAAAGTTGATTGAATTCATCAAAATCTTCTTGCAAATTTTCATTTGTAATATTTCGACTTCATTTAATATAAATTTCATTAGGGAGGAAGGAAAAACTTCATTTGCATTAATATCAATTTTTATCGTTATAAATTGCGTAAATTGAATAAAGACGTAAATTAGCATGTTTTGAATATATTTTACAAATAGAGGAAGAGAAAAAAAGAAACTTATATAGCATAAATTTTAATTTACATAAATTTTTTTTAATTACAAATTTTGTAATTAACTTAATGAAATTATTTTTGAAAATTTTGATTTAATTATTTTAGAATGAAAGAAAAAGTAAACAAAGTGGTAGTAAGTAAAAAATCATACAGATTTCATTTATTAATTCATTTTATGCTAAAACAAAAAAAGTATCTTTGATCATTTAATTTTAAAACAATAGCATTAAAATAATTAAAAATTTTCGATTATATTATTAATTGAAAAAATGAATTTTTTTTTTTTTTGAGGATAAATATTTAATAAATGAAATTAAAAATAATTATTAATAATTTGTTTACAATTCAATGTATCATCGGATCATTAATTAGTACCATTCCTACAACATAAAGTACCATTATTACATGGTGAATAACCAGTTCCACAATAGCAACGTGTATTAAATGCTGTTGAACAACTGGTTACTTGTGGATAAATGTATCCGGTATTACTGGTATCAAAATTGCCGTTATAACCTCTACCGAAATTATACGGAAACATATTGCTTGCACCACAACCTCCTGGTAAAGCTATTCCTCCTCCTAGACCACATCCATTTCCCATATTGTAATTACTACCATAAGCAATTGGATTATATTGACCGTACTAAAACAAGAAATTAATCAATTACTTGAAATAAGAAATTAATTACAAATTTTTTAAATGATCTTTAAATTAATAGATATTTCAATTATTCAAAAACTATATGATTTATTTTATTGCTTAAATAATAATAAACGTTGTCTAAAAATAAATATTTAGTTAATTATTTAATCAAAATATTATCAATACCACATAATCTAATAAATTTTATTTTCCGATCAGAAACCTTATTGATCGCATAAATAATGATTATTCTAATCAGTATTTGTCTTAATATTGATAAGGGATTTCATTATTACCGAATTATAATATCCTTAATATTTATTAAAACATTATTCTATGTTCACCTCTATACGGAAAAGAATGAAATGATACATACGGTAGTGTATAAATTTTCTGGATTGGAACCAAAACCATAACCATTATATCCAGCATTAAAATTAATACCATTACCACCATATCCTATATTACCATAACCATAACCATAACCATTATATCCAGCATTAAAATTGATACCATTACCACCGTATCCCATATTACCATAACCATAACCGGTTGCATAATTACTAGCAGCACATGCACATGGCGATGAGCATGCACAAGATGTTCCAGAATTGTTGCATGAACAACATCCACATTGACGTTTAATTCGATAATTTCTTTCATCTTCTGATATTTCGATCAAATACTAAAGTTTTGAAAAATTCAATGAAAATTTGTCTTATTATTCAGTTATCATTTATTATCATTTACTCGGTTAATACTAACTATAATCATCAATTCTATCGTTATATTATTAATATTGTTGTTATAACAAGAAATTCTTATTTTATTATGATATTATTAATATTGATGCCGTAACAATGAATTCTTCTTCTTATTATTATTATCATTATTATTATTGTTATTATTATTATTAATTATTATTAATTATTGACATCATTGTCATTGTATTATTTTTATTGATAATATTTAATATCAACATTACATTATTAACGTTTTTTGCTTTTTTTATTTATTACTACATTATTCTAATTCTATTACAAATTAGTATTATCATCTTTGTCATTTATTTATTACTGATATCATTATAAACATTCATAAATTAATGGCATATTTTAATGCTAATTTATTACACAAAAAAAACAATCGAATAAAATTAATCAAAATTTTAATTTCAAAAAAAAAAACATACAGCAAAATGTTGTAGAATGCAGAAAATTGCAAAAATTAGCAAATTTTTTCCAAAAGTCATTTCAAATGATAAAAATTTACTAGAAATTTCTGATTAATATAGTCTGGATTAATTAGTACCAGCCGAAAAGTTGTTTATTTAATTTTGAAAAAAAGAAAGTGTTGAAAATTTCGTCTTTTATATCATTTCGAGAATAATTTTTTACCGTTTGCATCCTCCTTCAACATTATTTTTACAGATCAAAATATTCATCTCACTTAAACTTTCCTTCTCCATCTATTTATCATTCGTTCTTTGCTATCTCATTAGAAATTAAATTGTCTAACTAATTGAGGTATATATATTTAAGTAAACATAAAATCAAGAGGTAGTTAGGTACACCTATTATCCTTCGTCACCTATTATCATTCGTTCTTTGCTATCTCATTGGAAATTAAATTGTCTAACTAATTGAGGTATATATATATATATATATATATATATATATATATTACATATTTAAGTAAACATAAAATCAAGAGGTAGTTAGGTAGAAGAAAACTTAGGGATAAAGTTAGAAAAGAGTCTACAGCTCTTTTTTCTCTTTGAAACCACTTCACTTTTTTTTCTATTTACCTTTTCTTCTTTCAGCTTAATTTAAATTACTATCATCACAAATGTTGTAAAATTTCAACGACGTTCGTTTTTTTTAATTGGCAAAAGCTTAAACACTCTCTTCATTATTTCATTAATTTAAGAGGATTATATCTTTTATTTCGAATAATTTTTCAATTTATTAATTTGCTGCTATGTAAATATTCTGTCTAATTGTTCTTCTATTAGCTGATGATCAAAGCAGTGGCCAAATGATCAAGAAGATATTAGGCATACATACATTTTGAAACAGTTGATGATAAAAGCAGTGATCAAATGATCAAGAAGATATGAGGCATACATACATTTTGAAACAGTTGATGATAAAAGCAGTGATCAAATGATCAAGAAGGTATGAGGCATACATTTGGGAACAGTTGACGATTAAAACAATGGTCAAGTGATCAAGAAGATATGAGGTATACATTTGGGAACAGTTGATGATTAAAATAATGGTCAAATGATCAAGAAGATATGAGGCATACATTTGGGAATAGTTGATGATTAAAACAATGGTCAAATGATCAAGAAGATATGAGGCATATATTTAGAAACAGTTGATGATCAAAGAAGTGGTCAAATAGTTAGGAAGATATGAGGCATACATTTAGGAACAACAGTTGATAATCAAACAATAATCAAATGGTCAAGAAGATATGAAGCAGACATTTGAGAACAATCAAAAAAAAGAAAGTAATTAGTTAATTAAAAAAAAAAGTGCCAAAAGTGAGAGGTAAAACAAATATACACAAGAATGATATTTTGTAAAAAAGCAAGCAAATTTTATATTTGAGAAAAATTTCAATATTTTGAATAATTCTAATAGTCGCATGGACAAAATGCAAAATTATCGCACACATGAAATGCAAAATTATCGCATGCATGAAATGCAAAATTGGCGCATGCATAAAATGCAAAATTATCGCATGCATAAAATGCAAAATTATCGCATGCATAAAATGCAGAATTATCGCATGCATAAAATGCAAAATTGTCGCATTCATAAAATGCACACATATCGTTGATATTTTTTTTGTTTATGTCTGCGAAACTTTCCAAAAATTGCATTGAATTTTTAAACTATCGAATTAATTACTTTTCAATTTATTTGTATTAAATGTTTAATTAAAATGTATAATTCATTCAATATTTATTCAATGATTTTTAATTAATTAATTGAATAAACATTTGTTTGATTAAAATTTGAAATTAATTACAATAATATTCAAATTTCACATTAATTGATATAAATAATTCATTATCGTTTTATTTGATAATTTACACTAATCGGTTGAGCAAATATTTATTTTGAATTATTGATTAAAATTTCGAATTTATTAGATGTTTATTTGATGGCTCATATCAATTAATTGGATAAATATTTGAGCTGGCCGGATAATTGTATTATTTCAAATCTAGAAACTTATCACTTTTCAATCAATTTTATAATGATATCTCAATGGAATTCATAAAATGGTTTGCTCATTAGAATTCATAAAATTTACAAAATGTTTGCTTTGTTATATCTTTGCAAATATAGCAGAAATCTACGCCATAAATTAAGACTGACAATTATTAGAGATGCTGGAATGGATTCACTCGGAGATGCTGGAATGGATTCATTCAGAAATGCTGGAATGGATTCATTCAGAAATGCTGGAATGGATTCATGCAACTACCAGAGGTGTCACTTAACTTATCGATCCTGTGATTACTTATTTTTATTCAAATGATTTTCCATCAGTTGTTAAAATTTGCACCAAATAAATCATGCAACACAATCATTTGAACACATCAGATAACACTAATGGAAGATTTTAGGAAACTTCAAACTTCAGATGATCAACAGGCTGGATAATTGTATTATTTTGAGTTTAAAAAATTATCACATTTCAATCTATTTTATAATGATATCTTTTATAATGATATCTTAATTTTATCACGATACCTTTGATAATGATATATGATATCTTTTATAATGATATTTCAACTTTATAGTGATATCTCAATTGAATTCATAAAATTTACAAAATGAATTTAAAAAAAATCATTCTCAATTACATTCGTCAAATCAAATAAAAATTTTTTAATACTAATAATATAATTGAATCATTTTAATTCTATCCCAAATTTTAATTTCGTAAATTTGCGAAAATTTTGTTTATTCCATAAAATTCTTATTGATACCAAAAATTTTAACTTTTATCTTAAAACTACCTTTTCAATTATCAGTTCATATCTTTTATCAAAATTAAGCAAATAATTTGACCTTTTCTTAATTATACATCCCTAGTTCAATTATCATTTATCAAATCTAAACAAGTAATTTGAGCTTTTCTTAATTATACATCCCTAGTTCAATTATCATTTATCAAATTTAAACAGATAATTTGATCCTTTTTTAATTATACAAATTAATTATGATTATATCTACCCCACTTTGGTAGATTTCAATTCTTGAAAAAAACTAATTTGAAAAACTGTAAAATATACTTTACAAATATTTTCCCTTTTACCATTTACAACTTTCCCTTTCAAATTTTACTAATTCATTAAAAGTTATCCATTCCAAAATTCTTCGGTTTATTTTAGGGTTCATTTTAGCTTCCAAAGTTTTGTCTTTTTTTTTAACTGAACAAAAATTAAAGTGAAATTAATAAAAATTTTTAATTTTTTCTTACCATAAATAATAAGATTTAAAAAGGAAGAAGTTATAAAAGAAGAATTAATTAAATAAATTACACTAAAATAATTAAAATTTAAATTTGTATTATTAACCAAACAATTCAAACAAAAATTCGATTATCATTTAAATGCAAAGAAATTTGAATTTTTTTAAATTACAAATAAATAATTAATTTTTAACAAAAAAACAAATAATTAATTAGCTAATTAATCGATTATTTACCATCCATTCAAAATTCATTCTTTCACTTTTTGTTGCCGTAAATTTTAGTTTTTAATAAAAATAAACAAATCTTTTGCTTTCTTTTATTTCTTTTTCTCTTTTCCTTATTTATATGAATTCTTTTCTCCGAAATTATTTACAGTAAAACAAAAAAAAGATTTCGTTTTTTTCTTTCTCTCTCTTTTATTTCTCCTTCTTATTTACACGAATTCTTTTCTCCTAAATTTATTTACAGTAATTATATCACTACTATGTCTTAAAATGCAAATTTTCTTTTCCCACATATCCAATCATTCAATATAATTCATCGAATAGTTTTAGCAAACTATTCCTTTATTTCTTTCATTCTCTCTTCTTTTTACCGTTTTAAATTTTATTCTTTTATTTATTATCAATGGAATGTTTTGTGAAGAAGAAGAATGAATGCTAAAGCTTTATACAGAAGCAATAACAACGATACATATACCATCTACCTGTACAATTTTTCCTTTCCTTTTTACATTTTTTCCAAAGACCACCCATTAAGCATAACAAAAATATATTTTTGTTAGTCATTTTTCCCCGCTTTTTTTTTCTTCCCGCTCTGCCCCGCCCCGCTTTATCACGGCTTTTTTTTTCCATCAATCATTTTTAGTTTTTCCTTTTGCATCCCAAATGAGAAATCAATCAATGAATCCATTAAAAAAACTACGACAATAATTCATATATTTTCTTCATTGGTAAAATATCCTTCCACAGATATATAAATATATATATATTCTCTTATTTTTTATGTATAAATAATTCCTTTTTTACATTTTTCATCACAACAAAAAAAATATCTTAAAATTTCACAAATAAAAAAGTGTAAACAAAACAAATATGGAAAAATGATTCATTCAAATATTTTATTGACAGCCGCACCTTTCATTTTTTTTTTTGTTGAAATTTTTTTTTGCAGAAATTTTTATTTCAGTTATATGATATATAAATATGTAAATATGGTATATATGTGATTTTGTAATTAATTAGAAGAGGGAAAAAATTAATTAATTAATAATTATTATAGCAAAGATTACTACTATGTATAATTTCTTTTCACAAAAAAGTTTTTATTTCATTTGCATAAATATAAATATGGTGTATATGTGATTTGTAATTAATCAAAAGAACGAAAAAGTTAATTAATAATAATTATAGCAAAGCAAAGATTATTAAGATTACTATGTATAGTCTTTATTTCAATGGCACTTATTGAATTAGAAGGTAATCATTGATCATTGATAATTGATAATTGATAATGAATTAATCAATAAATGGATTACTTAAGATATTCCTTTTATTATATTTTGTATTAAAAAAATTTTTGCTGTTATCTGAAATAATTATTTTCGGATTAATATTATGATTAAATTTGTTTGTAAAAAGGCTTCTTAAATTAAAGAGTTATAATTGTTAAATGATGATTGATAATGAATTAATCAATAAATGGATTACTTAAAATATGCCTTTTATTACATCTTGTATTTTACAAGATTTT